CCAGCCGACCAACTTGCATGTTCACGCGTTGAGCGCAAGGGTCAGACCCTTCGCAATGGGTCCGACACACGAAGCAACTAGGACATGGAAAGAGCCCCCTGCTGAAGAAACCACGACCGCGACCGAACATATCCCCGATCTCGTCGGCGGCCCAGCAAACTACAGGGACAAGAAGGACACGCCCCCACTCATACTGAGCATCACAATCGGATATCCCGCGGGGCGCAGTCCCCTGAACCGCTTGACACAGGGTGCAATTTGGCGAAGCATCAGAAGCATGCGTCACGATCCACTCCTGCTTCCAATGCGAATTGCTGACTGTGGCCTCAAGCGCGCGCCGCTGTTTGCCCCATCACGGCGCGCCCTTCTGGCACGTCAGCTCGTAGATGGATGCCCAGCTGATGGGCCCATCCCCAACATTGGAATTGGTTCGCCCCCTTCGCTCGTCAAGTTTCACACCCCTGTAAAACCCAACCCGAGCCATATGCCAACAGAAACTGGGAGAAACGAACCAATGCGCCACCCCCTCCCCAAATCATCCAGGACGGACCACTGGCCTTAAGGGGGCGGCCGAGCCGTCTTCTGGTCAACTTGGCGGGCCCAGCTGACGCGACGAACCCTCGATATAATGGCCGCCGCAGGTTTCATTCCCAGCACCCCCACGGCGACGCCGCGGCGCCATCGCGAAGGCCACCCCCATAGCAAGATAGCAGACCATTGTCAAAAACCATACCCCACAACCCGATAGCCGCGAGCCTCTTAAGAGCACGCGCCGCGACGACCGTCAGAGGGCACCTTCTCCGCAAGCGAGGGCGCACCAAGAACCCGAGACAAATCGCAGCCCCATCGCTCGCCCCGCCTGCCGCCCTCGGCGCTTGGACTCGCAATCCACGAAGCACCGCGCCCGTAAAACCCAAGCTGGCCGCGCCCCAGACCACTTCGGCGAGCGGGGGGGCTCGCCCAACGCGAGGGACCACGCGCCCCGAGCCAGACAAAGCAAGACGGCGAGCCGCGCGAGACCCATCTGCCATCCGAGCCCGACGCGCGGGGAGACATCGCCTGCTTCCGTATTCCGCGCCCCCTTTCCGAGGCCCCATTCGAGATCGCCACATCGCCGAGCCCCGTGGGCCAGAGAGCTGCTCGAGAAGGGAGGGCCAGCGAGAACAAGAAGCACGCGTTGCCAACGCTAAGCGGGAGTTTGGCAGCTGCCATGCCCGAGTGCGCAAT